TTTCTAATGTATGCAATTAGTACTATCAGTTTCCCTCTGAGTACTGCTGTAGTTGTGTCCCAGCAATTTTGCTATGTTCTATTTTCATTTTTCATTCACTCCAGTGTATTTTTTTCCCTTGATTTCCTCTTTGACTTACGGTTATCTAGAAGTGTGTTAACTAACTTCCAATGTTTAGAGATTCTCCCATTATCTTTCTCTTATTGGTTTCTGGTTTGATTCCATTTTGGCCAGAAAACACACTCTGTAGGATTTCAGATTTGTTGATAATTGCTTTATAGACCAGGATATGGCCTATCTTGGAATATATTTGTGGGCATATAAAGAATGTGTATTCTTTAATTGTTGGGTGTATGTTCTAAAAATATCAATTAGATCCTGTTTGTTGATAATATTAAGTTCTATATGCTTGCTAATTTTCTATCAGTTGTTCTAGGTATGCTGAAGTTTACAACTATAATCATGGATTTGTCTATTTTTTTCTATTTTACCAGTTGTTATTCCACACATTTTGTAGCTCTTTCGTGTATACACATTCAGAGTTGTTATGTTTTCTTGTTGGATATTCCTTTTTATCATTATATGATGTTTATTTCTGTCTCTGGTAATTTTTTTGCTTTGAAGATCTTTTATTTGATATTAATGTTGCTATTCCTGCTTTATTTGATTAATGTTTGCATAAGACATAGATATAATGTGTATGTACTACATGTAATACATATATCTGTATACAAATACATATTTTATATATATGTTGTTTCCATGCTTTTACTTTAAATCTGTGTATATCATTGTATTTGAATTGAGTTCCTTTTGGACAGTATATAATTAAGCCACATTTTTTTTAAATCCACTGAGCATATCTCTGCCATTTAATTGGTATATTCAGACAATTTACATTCAATTTTATTTATTTATTTATTTATTTATTTATTTATTTTGAGAGAGAGAAAGAGTGGGGGGATGGGCAGAGGGAGAGAGAGAATCTTAAGCAGGCTCCATGCCCAGCTCGGAGCCCCACATGGGGCCCAATTTCATGACCCTGAGATCATGACCTGAGCTGAAATCAAGAGTCAGAGGCTTAACCGACTGAGCCATCCAGGTGCCCCTCAATTTAATTATTGATACGTATGGCTTACACCTCCCATTTGATTCTTTGTTTTTTTTCTCTTTGTTTTTCATATCACCTGCCTGCCTGTGTGTTATTTAAACACCTTTTAGAATTTTTAGAATTTTGACTTCCTAGTATTTTTCTTAAAATGTGTATTTCTTTGTGTAGTTTTTTAGAGGTTGTTTTATGTATTAGCTTTTATATACATAACATCACAGTGTTACTGGTGTCTTCATTTTACTTGTTCAAGTGAAGTACAGGGACTTTACCTCCCTTCTTGTACTTTTACCCATACCCATTTATAATTGTCTTAAGTATTTCCTCTACATACATTTAGAACCACATCAGACATTGTTTATTTTTTGTTTCTGCCATCAAACATAATTTGGAAAACATCAGAGAAGGAAAGTCTATTATTTTTACTCATATTTTTGTTACTGAATTCTTTATTCCTTTCTAAAGGTCCAAGATTCGTCTTTTATCATCTCCTTTCTGTTTAGACAACTTCCTTAACTATTCTTTCAAGGTGGGTCTACTGTTGAAGAATTATATTATTTTTCCTTCATCTGATAATGACGATTTCCACTTCATTCCTAAAGGATATTTTCCATGGACATAGGATTCTGGATTGACAGTTCTTTTCTCTCAGCCATTAAAAATTGTACCCCTTACTTCTGGGCTCCATGGTTTCTGATGAGAAATTTACTTATCAGAATTGTTTTTCCTCTAAAGGAAGATTATGTTTTTCTCTTGCTGCTTTCAAGTTTTTTTCTTTGTCTTTAGTTTTCAGAAGTTTGACTATGATGTGTTTTGGGATGGATGTCTTTTTTTTTTTCTTGCTTGTGGTTTGCCCAGCCTCTTTGAATCTGCATCCTTTTACTAAATTTGGGGAATTTGGGGCCATTATTTTTTTTAGCATGTTTTATGCCTTGCCCTCTTTCTCTTCTCTTTCTGGGATTCCAATGGCACAAATGTTTTCTTTTATTATAGTTCCACAGTTGCCTGAGTCTCTGTTCACTTTTTTTTTTAAGTATATTTTCTCTCTGTGGTTCAGATTAGACCATTTTTATTGTTCTCTCTCCTCATTCACTGGTTCTTTCCTTTGCCTCCCACATTTTTTAAATTTATCATAGTTATCATATTTTTCAGTTCTAAAATTTCTATCTGGTTATTCTAGAAAGCTTCTATTTCTTTGATAAGACATTTGTTTGTTTCAACCATGTTTCATAATTTCTCATTGAAGCATTTTCATGATGGCTGCTTTAAAATCTTTGTGAGGTAATTCTAATATCTCTGTTGTCTTGGTGTTCACAAGTATTGGTGTCTCTTTACATTCAGTTTGAGATGTTTCTGCTTCTTTGTATGAGAAATGATTTTCAGTTGAAAGAAACCTGGACATTTTGGGTATTATGAGACTCTGGATATTATTTTTATTTTTTTTTTAAGATTTTATTTATTTGACAGAGAGAGATACAGCGAGAGAGGGAACACAGCAGGGGGAGTGGGAGCGGGAGAAGCAGGCTTCCCGCTGAGCAGGGAGCCCAATGCGGGGCTCGATCCCAGGACCCTAGGATCACGACCTGAGCCAAAGGCAGACACTTAACGACTGAGCCACCCAGGCGCCCCGAGACTCTGGATATTATTAAACCTTCTATTTTAGCTGGCTTGCTCTGACACTACTCCAGCAGAGAAAGGGGGCACACCTTGTCATTGCCAGCCATAGCACTGACACCTGAGTGGGTGTTCCTGCTGGGTGGGGTGAGAGTTCCTATTCCCCAGTAGGCCTCCACTGATACTTTCCTGGCTAGGAGGGATGTCAGTGGTTTGTTACTGCCCCCATCATGGCCTCTCCTGGCACCTTACAGGTGAGGGAATTCTAGAGCTGGACAGTTTCTAATGTCCTGACCCTCCACTAGGCCTCCTCTGTCCAACACAACCTTAGTAGGGAGGGAGAATGGTGCTTCATTATTGTTGGGCTTGGGTGGAAGTCCAGGATCCCAATGTAGTCTCCACTGACATTATTACATTGGGTTAGGGTAGGCACCTTGTTATCCCTTGACAAGGACAAAAGTCCCAATTTCCTATTTAGACTTCCTTACACCACTCTGGGGTTGGGGAGAGGAAGTTGGGATGCTTTGTTCTAGCCTACCAAGGGTCTGTAGGAGCTCCCCATTGGGCCTAGGTACGGGGGTGGCTGTTTGTGTGGTGTCTGACCAGAGCAAAGTAGTATTGCCCCAGTGCTTTCTGTCTTCCTAGGCTGCTGCTTTCTTTGTCCTTTGGCTGCAAAGAACAGGCTTTTGTTGAGGCTTCTCTGGTCTGCACCAATTGGTGTCTCTGGGTTGCTGGCTTCTTCTGCTCCAAGTTTTGGATAGATGAGTCAAAAATAAAATCCAGGGAACTCACCACAACGTTGTTCCTTGGGTCCCGAGGTCCCTGGCTGTTCTGTCCTCTTCTCTCCATCATTCAGAGTGTCCTGATGTTTGTTTTATGTATGATGTCCAGGGTTTTTAGTTTTACCTGGCAGGAGGATTAGGAAAAACTGTCCCGTTTCTTTTTTGTCCTTTTTTCTTTTGTTATTCTTTAATTGGCAGGGCAGCATACAATTTTTGCCCTGGTTTCTATAGGGAACTTAAACAGAATTAGGAAAAAGCAACTAATAAATTTTCCATTAAAAAGAGACAATTTGAGACAAAGAACCCATGTCTATCTGTAATTTATTTTTCGATACCCGTTTCACTTCTACTTTCCAATTTGTACCAGCTTGTTTCTCGATTACTTTATCACCAATAAATGCTCCTTTAGCATTTTATGGCAACACTTACCTTTAGAAGTAAGCTTTTGCCACTTGCAAGTTCTCATTGACTGACTCCTGCAGGGGGGCACGTTCACTTGATTCATTGCTGTTCCCCTGTGCCTGTCACAAGGCCAACCCCCATAAGAGTACTTAATAAATATCTGCTGAATAAGAGAATGAGAGCTGAAAATTTACATTTCTCATTCTCCGAGAGCTTACCTCCTTTTTTCTTGCTGTGCCGAAGCATGGGACACATGTGTCTGCCACCTGTGCTTGAGTCCCACCAGGCACCCAAAGCATGTGCTGAGGGCATTAGCAAAATTTGCCCAGAATTCTGCAATCTCGAATAAAGCAATTTAATTTCAGCACATGTGTCAGTTTTTGCTTTCTGGCTTAGAGTTGTTTGTATTTTGAATTACAAGTGGGGAGGACCCCAGAATAGTTCCCGTGTATGTGTGTGCACACGTGCACATTCACTCCTATCACTTCTAAAGAAAGTGACCCAAAGAATGTGGCACCAGAAAGACCACAGACTATTTTTAGGATCTGTTTCCTAGATCCCGGAATTTTTTTTGAGGGGGGGGGGAATGATGAATTTTTAAGCAAATCATGGTTTGATGATCTTTTTATTTATTTATTTTTAAAGATTTTATTTATTTACTTGAGAGAGAGAGAATGAGAGAGAGAGAGAGCACATGAGAGGGGGGAGGGTCAGAGGGAGAAGCAGACTCCCTGCTGAGCAGGGAGCCGGATGCAGGACTCGATCCCAGGACTCCAGGATCATGACCTGAGCCGAAGGCAGTTGCTTAACCAACTGAGCCACCCAGGTGCCCCTTGATGGTCTTTTTAAATCTTTGTCCTGTAATGTGCGATGTGTGGGCATCCATAAATGGAGGAGGGGGAATGTTAGTCCATCGTTTTGTAAAGCCCTGAATTTATTTTAATTTTTTTGCAAGCATAACTGTACTTCAGATAAAGATCTCCCGTCATTGCACCGTTTTTAAATGCAGGTAATAGAACATGATTCTTCTTAGTACTCCCAAGTGTGTTTGGTTTAAATACTAATCTTAATACTTGCTTCTCGCTTGGCTTTAGAGTCTGCTTAAAGTAATAGTGAAAGATTGAATTCACTATACTTTTGTTAGAAAATCTGGAAATGTTCGTCCATGGACACTTTCGTCGCCTGCTAAAATGGAAATTCACTGGGAAGGGGGTGAGCATTTCATTTTATTGCCTAAGAGGTGTCGATAACATGCCCTAAATCTTTCCAAGGTATCTTTCATGCCAAACAGGCAAACTAGCTAGCGAAGGAACAGAAAGACCACTTCTTACATGAGTCATTCTCAGCAAACTTGCACAGCAGCTGTGCTAGGTACTGATGAGGATTACCACAGAACCCAGTTGCAAGATTTTATGTGGTCGAGGAGACAACTGCCTCTCCCAGGGGACTGCTTCGAAGGGGGTTGCAGCAATAATGCATCCCTACTGTTGCGGGTGGATTTTGTGGCCACGGAGTATAAAATCAGTGCCAGATAAAATCAGAAAGTAATAGAAAGTGAGAAGAATCTCACGGATTTTAAACCTTAATGTGAGAGACTACAACAAATGTCCTGAGCTTGTTGCATTTACTAGTTAGGAAAAGGAGAGAGAGGAAGGGATGCGTTTAACTCCGAAAACTTGCAGGGCTTCGGTCTTTTCATTTGAGAACCGTTTGGGTGTGTTGTGAAATCAAGTTGCAGAGTAGGCATGTTCAGACCTTTTTTTGCTACAGTTAGTAGGAAAGATCCCCCCCCCCCACCTTAAATAAAAGAAGCCAGAGTTTTCTGTGCAAACTGAAACAGGCGTTGCAAGAATCAGATTCACTTTGGACGAGTCTTCACATTCCAAGTCATCATTGCATTAGGCAGCACAATTCCATCTCTGGTTGATGGGCAGAAAAAGTGGGCAGCTTGCCAGGTAGACGTTTCCATGACTCCCAGCCCCCAAAGGTGATGCGTTTTTCAGCTAATTCAATGAAGAGTGGGCTGAACTTTGGGTCTAAACGAGACAATAGCTGCCTTCGCAGTATCAGCAGAATGGTTGATGGGAATGCACTCTACATTTGGCAGAGAATCATGTGACCTTACGACTGAGATTTTGTGATGGTGCCAACGGAGACTTGGAAAGCAGCAACCGTCCTGACTTTTTTCTTCTTTTCTAGCATGGCTCAGAAAATGGTGGATCTTAATACTTGACTTTAGCCAGACTCAGCAAGCGACTGAGCTTTGAAGCACAACTTCGCCTTTATTCTGGGTTTTTGGCAGGCCACCAGGAGGCTGTCCCTTTCACGCCTGATAAATTCTGCTGCTTATCTCTAAATAGGAAAAAAAAAAAAAAAAAGAAAAATATAAACAGAATATTGAGGCATAACAAGTGAATCCTAAAATTGTATGTGCTTTTTGTTTTTTGGCTTTTCTTACTGCTGATTTTTTTAAATGTTAATACCCTTTCTGCTTGCTGAAGAATCCAAGTACTTTTTTTTTTTTTTTTTGGTTTATAATGAACAGGCATTTGAACAGGGCAAACAGGACGGCCGCAGCAGTGAGCATGAGATCATTGCAGCCGTGTAGCAAGCTGGCACCCTGCCTTCTCACCCTTTTGGTTCAGGAGACAAACGTGTGCAATCCTCATTTCTAAAGTCAGCTCAGCCTGGAAGGATTCCTGGTCTCTCCCACCTTCTACCATTCTGCTGCCAGGGACAGCAAGGATTGGTGCAGTTTCTGCGCAGTGCTTTGTGCCTGGAATACGGAGAAGGAAGAAAAAGAAGACAAGCACCCTGGTCCTTTTTTCCAAGAAATAACAGGAGCCCCGAAGAAAAAAAAAAAATCTTGAGTTTGTCCTACTCCATGCAACAGTGCTGAAAAATATGAGACGCTCCTGCTCAAAAACAAAAACAAAAACAAACAAACAAAAATCCAAACCAAAACAAACCAAAAAAAAAGCAAACATTGGCTTGTATACCTACAGAGACATCGGGCTTTGTAAAGCAGCTTTGTAAGGCAACATAACCAAATGAGCCTTCCTTATTTTTATTATTTCAAAAATATGGCATAATTAGCAATATATTGCACTTGGTGAAATCGCACCTTTCATATCAGGTATAACTTTTTTTGTTGTTTCTTTTTAAGCCTACTCTTAGATAAAAGGGGATCCTTGAACTTTCAATGTACTCTTATTTAGCTCATCACCCACTTTACTCTTATTAACTTTTTCCTTTTGCTCTCTTGCTCTAATCCTGATTAGAATAGAAACTTACGTAAAAATAGAAAAATGTGTATGGAAAAGATGGTACATGTTTTTATTTTGGTTATACATCGAAGTTGGGAAAGACATTAATATGTTATCTGTGCTTTTCGTGTACAGTATTAGTTTTTGCTATCTAAGAAAAGTGAGCGTTTAGTCCTAGTTGTTTAAAGAAACTAAATCTTTTATTTGCTGTGACTCATAATTTGAAATGTGAAGGAAGAAACTTTTTGAACTTCTAAAAAAGGGTCATATTAGAAGATATATTAAGAAATAAAATTAGTTTGGGGGAAGTTGTATTTAAATTATTTACCAGGATTTCAGTATAACCGAAGTAGGGATGAAAAGATCATGCTCTCAGTTGCTAAGTAGAAAAGAAGCTTGTTCCACAATAATACTCTCTTTTAAAATATATTTTAAAAGAAGCGTTTGTCTTAGGGCGGTTGCAGAGAGCGTTGGAAATACCCATTAAGTATTTTAGTGGAAAAAGTACATACAAACTTGTTTTAAGTTTAAAGCAATGATTGGTTCAGCAGATAAATGCATTGCATTCTAATTATTTTGTCTATTTGTAGGAGTAAATTGTTAAGCAATTTAAGCATTTTGTAACAAAACCCAGTTTTGCCTGGTTCAGTGGGAAAGGATTAGCAGATGTATTCCACCTATTTTAATGTTGATTAAAACTCTTTCTAAACATGTTTAAAAATTGTTAAAAAAGAGAAAGTACTTCTTAAAAATAGAGCATATATAAATGAAGACTATAATTTGCATATTAAGAATTGATGCTATAATATTCTCCATGAAAAGAATAAACTTGGAGCAAACTGTTGTGCTTTTAAAATCATATTTTATCATATTGAAAATATGTAGGGTAAACAAAGAGAAAATATTATAGAACTGATGAATTCTACCTCCTTTTTTAGTTATTCTATGAAGAATTATGGGAAATTACAATTACCCTATATACTGATAACATTCAAATAAAACGTTTTATTAAGTTTATCGGTTATTGTTCACTAATTATTTAAAAAAATAGCTCTTGTTCCTTTATGCTGCCTCAGCTAATGGAACATCAACTTTCACAGCCTTAATTAACATTTATAAACCTGTTTTCATGTTTCAAGATCCTTTAGTTGAAAAACATTATTTTAAATGTTATTTTTAGGAGCCATTAATCTCTACACTCTTAATTATCTTATTAAGCTCCATGCCAAATCCAAATCTCTTTTCAGCTTTCACTAGTTCATTGTGCAAAACCTAGTCGCTTCTTTACAGCTATGCCTCCTTTCACTTTCAAAACTGTTACTGTGAAAACAACACCAACCAAAATGAACGCGTAAATGCAAACTATGAAACCACATTATATGTCATATGAGTAGCCTTGGGTGGGGCTCTAGGAGTCTTCCAAGCCTTTAAAAAAAATACTTTAAAAGGTTTTGCCCATTTTGATATTGTGTTTTCTTCTCGATCATCTACCTTCATTCCCACCATCCAGCCAGATGATCCTCCTAGACAAGCAGTTGTCTGATATTTCTCCTTTTGTGGTTGTTTTAGGGAAAAACTTAAAATGGATATGAGAAGTGAAGAAAGTGATCATAGGAGAAAATCATCTCAGGTAAAAACAAAAAGCAAAAGAACAATTAATATTTAATATTTTTAAAGAAGAAACACAAAACAATGTTGACTATATTTAGTTTTAAGAATTTGTTTCATAGTCTTTATGGATCTAGCTGTTGGAATTTTCATTGATGGCTTGAGAATTTATACTATTACCTACCATTGTGACAAATTTTTGTCTGAGTTTATGATCTATGTGCAGTTTGAGTCTCTTGGAATTATGTATCTATATATCCATTCATATATCTATATATCCATTCATGTAATGGTTGAATAGAAAGTAATTTAGAAAAAGAAAATATATATTTTTTTCATTTGTCATACCAGGTAAAAGGAAGTGAAATCTGGAGAGAGGGAATAAAGTTGTGCTTTTTTAAAAAAATGACCTAATAAGAGAATGAAACCAAAATATACATTCTTATAGTTATGATAAAACCCAAAACAAATGTTGCTTTTTATTTCACATCTAAGTTTATGAATACATGTTAAGATATTTTTACTATAATTGAATGCAATTATGACTGTTGATTTTTTACTATAGTTTTTAACAAGAATGGGAATAATTAGAAAATAAATAATGGTAAAAAAATTATGTAGACCAAATTATCTACATAAAGTCTATAGAACACATTTTATTTTATTTCAAAACATGCAAAAACACTAAGTAATTTTTAAGTAGTATTACTATTTTTCACAATGAAGATATAATTTAGAAATGCTAAATATTGTGGATATGAGTGAAATGATTAATGATTGTACAACTTACAGTTTTGTTGCTGTTGAGCTTAAAATCTTAAAAAATATGTATGTGGCTGGCTTTATGTTTATTCTTTGTGTGTTTGCTTATTGTCTAGTGGCTTAAATTTTTTTAATAACAATTGATTTTTGCCCAACCTGTTGACCAGGTAAGAGTTGTAACTAGCTATATATTATGTTTTAAGAATATCTTTTTTTAAAAAAAATAAACTTGAAGATATTGTGTTTAAGAGGCAAGTTATATCCTCTTTTATGCAGTAGATCTGGAGTATAGATTATAGTAGTAGTAGCACTGCTAATAGTAATAATGCTGTTAATATTAATTTTAGTTTTCTGATAACAATTTATCCAAATATTGTTAATTTCAGTATTATTCCAACTATAGACACATATGTATACATTCAAGACTTTTTAGTGACTTCCTGTGTTCTCTGCCTAGTCAACAAGATCTTACTTGTTTTATGAGAAAGTTATAATGTTACCCATTCCTTGAAATCACTAACGGAGGTTTTATAAAAGAGTTAAAACAAGCGCAGTCTGACTCTTACACAATTAGCTTAATAGTTAATTTGGTCTTAATTATAGGCTGGTAATACTACATTCATGCTTCACAATTACATAATTCATACATGCATGTATGGATCCTTTTTTTTCTTTTAAAACTCGTTATTAATTAGAATAGTCCAAATCCAAAATATTCACTATTACTAGAGTAATCTGCGAAAAATATTTCAATATACTATTCTTTAAATTCTCATGTATATAAACCTGTATTTTAGTGTAGAATATTTATGAAGGCCTTTAACTGGGAATATGTATACTAAGAGCATTTTAGCATTAAAAATATTTATAGTAAAGGATCAATATTAATATTTTCATCTAATTTCATCAAATATTTGCAATAAATTCTGCATTAATAGGGAGCCCAAGTGAGATGTTGCCCATTGGCATAAACCCGTAGATCCGATCTTGTGGTGAAATGGACTACACAAGCTCGCTTCTATGGGTCTGTGTCAGTGTGGTAATCTAACAAAATGCTGTAGACAAATGCTGTTAAATCATATTTCAGTCAAACTCCTGTTAAACTTTAGTTGATTACTTGGGAAGTATTTATATTTCCTTTTGTTACCCTCATCGGTCTTTAGAGACAAGCTTCAAGTGTCTACCACTAGGAAGAGTTTACAGCACAGCCATTCAAGTTGGAATCCAAATACAGTAAATTACTTAAGAAACTTGAATTTTTTATAGCCAGGTTCGAAACAAGGGCTGAATGGATCCTGTTCAGAAACTTAAGTTCACATTACAGTGGTTAGTACACCTCATCAACTTCAAGAAGAAAATTAAAGGCTATAATTAGATTTATGTACTACTATTGAGCTGATTTATCTTGAATAATGGAGTTGAATGCTATTGGCTTTTAATATTTTTAATTGCTAGTAGAACTATATGCCAGGAGAGATGTCAGAGGACATTTTGTATGACCTGTGCTAGAAACCCAAGAGGTTAGGATAGTCCTAGTAGACACATATTAAGTCTGTTGGTGAAATGTTAGAATATTATATCTACATCCTTGCCAAGCCCTTAGGTGTATGGCCGCCATATTTGGAGGAGCTGTCTGAAGATATGATAAGGAGTTTGAAGCAACATTGGAAGCTGTGTGCATCCGGGTTGAGGTAGTAGGTTGTATGGTTTCGAGTTACACCCTGGGAGTTAACTGTACAACCTTCTAGCTTTCCTTGGAGTACACTTGAGCCATCGAGGAATTCTTCACCACTTTTACCTGACTGAGCCAATTTCTGTGCAAGAAGGTAATGTGTCATGAGTATTTTGGATAATCAATTCGAACCTTTCTTACATTAAAATGATCCTTTCATCCCTAAATACTAGATTATTCCATTTGCATCTACCTGTAAACACTGGCAAGTTGGTATTTCTAATAGGTTGTTACTCTATGAGCAAACATTTTTAAGAACTGGTGAGTAGTGACTTAAACCGCATTGATATTTCAACTTTTCAGTCACAGATTCACAAAATTTGGCTCTTAATTTTGCAAACTGATCATTGATCTTTTTTCTATTTTTATTGGCTACTTAGACACTATAGTAAAAAAAAAAAAAGTCTTCTAGTGTCAATGACTTAATAGCACATTATCTGAGTCTTTCTTATGACACATCACTTTCTCCCTTATGTTATGGTTATCTATGTGCTTGTTTATTTTTTTGCCAGTATATACTAGACTGTAAGCCCCTTGAGGGCGAAGCCCATGCCTTATCTTTCATTGTATCCCCTGTAGTGCTTTACACATAAGATCTAATATTTATTGGATGAATGAATGGAGTATAAGATCTCACCCTGTGATGAGTTTCTGTTGAATATTTGAATGAATTACAACAGCAGTCACAAATTTGCGTATTGTTTGTTGGTCCTAAAATTTGCCTAAATTTAATTCCCACACTGCTCTACATCAGTAATATACCTGTTTTTTCACTGTGTTGAGTGTGCCCATTCATCCTAGACATACAGTTTAAAACTTAGGATTGCTTTTTCTCTAGAATAAAAAGAATACAGCAAACTCATTTTTATTAATAAGTTCATTATAGTTTACAACCCTAAATTTAGATTATGTGTATTTCTTTTGAATTTTTAAATCCTTTCATTTCTAGACGAATGGTTTTTCTTTCAACATCACTTTTATAAATCAGCTTTTGGTATTTTTGCATACTTCCCTTGTCTTCTACCCTTTATTTTTGTTCAGCCACGTGTGGAATAAACCAGAAACAACTAAACCAGAAACATGTCAAGAAATTAATAATAAATATGTGACGTGTACTTGAGGATTGAATCACATTTTTGTTTGAAGGGAAGTTACCTACAATATTCTGTCTGTACAAAGCAAATAGGTCTCTTTGGAGAACATTAACTTACCACCAAATTTAGCGGCATCAAATGGTATAGTTTATATAAAGAGGCTAGTTTATATCGATCATCTTTCAGGCACAGAATTAAATAGTTATAGATATTGGGACTTTAAACTCTAAGTATGCAACTTTGAATACATAGAAAAGATTTTTAGATATAAATATGTTAAGAACTTTAAGATCCAGACAGTGTGGTGGTGAGCTTCCTATAGAACACTCTGGCCTCCAGAATATCTCAGAATCTAGAATTCACCAACAATGGTGAAGAAGGAACTTTTGAATCACCCACGAGAAGAACACAGGAGCATTAGAAAGCTGAATACCAATGATTTCAATCAAAATTATTTGATTCGTAGGCAGAGGTTGAAGACTAGTAGTCTCTAAGAAAGAAAGGCCTTTTCAAGGACTAATCAAGAGATGATGAACAAGAGGCAGGAGACATAGACAAAAGAGTAAGAGACAGAGAAAATGAGAAGTTGAGAAGGAAAGTACTCCTAGCAAAGAGAAACAATGTTGTGTGTACTGGTAACAGTTCTACACAAAGGTGGAAGAAACAAACAACTGAGGGGTAAACAATTATATATTTGTAAATAGTTTAGTCTTTGAGAGCCTTGTAGTCCCTTTCGTGTGTGTGTGTGTGTGTGTGTATTCTAATACTCTTGTGTACAGATTTGGAGACCAAGTCGGTGTCATGGATGGGCCAAGTAGAATACTATTGTCAAGAAATGCCTGTTTCCATTCGGTGCAATAGAGTTAAGTCTATCACAGAAATCAACTGTAAGGTGCAGTTTAAGGATAAGCTTATGAAAATACTATGACAAGTGCATAGAATCGTGGTCTCTTATCTACCCTAGCAAAAGGGATCTGGTATTACAGAAGAATAGCTGAAAAATTACAAAGATGTAGCTATGATGAAAAGTGTTAGTCATGTGAAGTCATAATAATTCTGAAAGGCAGAGGATATAATTAGCATCAATGCAGAAAATAAAAACTCCTCTGTAGGCTGAGAATACTACATGGGAGGTTCTTTCACTAGTAGTTAATTATAAATTTGCTCTTCTAGCTATGGGGGTTTTTTAACTTACTATATTCTTATGAAAAAAATGGCAGATGACAAATACACAAATTGATAGGATTATCTTAAAGAAACCGAGATTCAGGACCACTGCTGGTGTCAATATCTAGAAATAAACCATGGGGAAATAATGTACATTTAGAGAGTTAGCATTCAGTGAGGGAGCAACTATGCAGATTGAATAATTCCTTTAAGAATTTAAGTGGTCAAGGGGCACATGGGTGGCTCAGTCATTAAGCGTCTGCCTTC